CCGCTGGGGCCACCCCTGTTCAAATGATACTTGGGCCTAATAATCTTTGTTCAACATTTCCAGCTTGTGTTTCATTAAAGCACTTTAAGTTTTTGTTGTCATGCTTGCTCGAAGCTTGGTATTGCTTTTTCAACAATAGAGAAAACTCTCAGTCACTACTGCTATAAAATATTACCATAGTTCCCCGGGTAGAACCCCACCCCGACTTTACGCCCAACTTCGCGTACAAGAATTTCCCCGGGTGTAAAGTCCCAGGGTCTGAGGATTGGGTAAGTCGGCCTAGGTCGGTAAATTTAACAAATGCTCAAAAAATAAAGGAATTGTCTCCGAATTCTGCCGACTTGAAACTCTTAAAATTGCTTACAACAGACATTGGTCGCTGTTTACTGTTGCTAAAAATAAGCAGCTCACTAACTGCGGCTAAAGATAGACAACACCGCGGTCCGTCCCTGAAAAGACCTGCTCAGTGGGCTGATCGGATCGTTAATTCACATCGTGAAGACTCGCACGTTTCCACAGAGATTCGCTGCTAAAAATAACTTGTTACATCATGTAAGATCAGGGTTGCCATTTGGCCTTTTTGACGGCCAGATTCCTCAAATCTGGTCGTATAAAAATTTGTCTGGCCGTAACGTTTGGAAAGTCACGCCCAAAATATATTTGGCCGAATTTTTAAAAAGTTTACATTTTTTTCAATAGAGGCCTAATATAACGTAGACTTGTTTTGGATATGTTGTTTTTGTTAGTTTAAATTCTATATTTGATTCTAATCATGTACCTTTGTTTGTACTTGCACTAAACGCTTAATCTAGGCCTGTTACCCGGACCCCTTTAGCCGATTGGACATAAGAGAGTTTATTTAAAAGATAACAGTTACATTTAATAATTTAAATTGTTCGGATGAAATAATATTATTTTATATGAAGTTTATCCTCGTTTAAGCTTTATGAAGACAGTTCAATGCCAGCTTGTACCATATATTGTGTGTGTTTGCATATGTTCCATCCTAGTGGAGGTTCTCTCTCTTTGGAATCTCTTTAGAATATAAATTAAATACTGTACTTTAATTAATTTATTATTGCCCACTTGAATTGTATAGGCCTAGGTGCTGCAGTGTTTTTTATGTAGAACTCGATGATCATTCGGGTCCGATGGCACCTCCAATTTCAAGCAAGCGTTGTGCCAGAGACTTCTTCGAAGTTACTCTAGAGTTAGGTCGTATACCCCAGCTGGGGTCGAGGGGGCATGGCCCCAGGCGCTCCGACGATCTGAGTATTAAAGCTGTTTTAAAACGATTTCAGGGAGTGTGTCGTGACAATAACGGTGACATAAGCAAAAATATTTTTAGTTTCAATGTAATTGAGCACCCAAACTATGTTGACCTAAACATTTCACTGATAAATTTTTAGTAACGCGTCAGTGAAAACAAATATTCACATAAAATATTAAGTACTCTCTAATGACTCAATTACTGGTACTGGTAGCCTGAATTCGTGATAATTCGTTATCATGCATAGATTTGTGCTAAATGCATGACAATTATGGATCACGCATGTGTTTCTGCAAAATGTGTGTTTCATCCAAAATCATTTTGAAATGCGAGCGAGACAGTTGGTAACTATGCTATAGATCGACTACAATGTACCTTAATATGTAATACATTTAAATCAAATTTAGATCAATCTTAATAATGTGATTTTAAAAAGCAGAGGCGGATTTGGGGGTGGGGAGTGAAAAGAAAAATAAAGTCAAATTGATCGCCCAAACGCATCAGAGGTTATTTTCGGGCGTCTAGAAAGCAAAAATTTCTCCAAGACGGTGTTATCTTTTTCGGCCCCGGCCCCTCCCACTTTCGGAATCTGTGGATTCGCCCCTGAATTGGCCTACATGCCAGCAACTAACTAAAGAACATAGGCCATTTATAATGATGTAGCTGGGCATGTATTTTATGGTGAGAATTAAAAGATGAAAAACAGTGAAAGTTTAACATTGTTCTGTGTAGGCCTGTATCATTTGAATTTCTTAAATTTCTAACGAATGACTGCTGATTTTCGTGTAATTATGTACCCACTTTTGTCTTCTAATCGGATTAAAATCTGGCCGAATTTTGGCCGATATCCAAAAAAAGTTTGGCCGAATTTGGCCGTGACATGGCGTGTGTCTGGCCATGAAGACTGTCGACTATCTAGCAACCCTGTGCAAGACTGATTTCTTCGCCCGAATATTGTTTTGATAGGCTATTCGTAGGTGAAAACGACATCGCAAAACGATCGTCATTTTCGTCTGTTCACACACTAGGCGTAGGGAATCCCGGGTATAATTTCACCCCCCGAAATCGGGACAGTTTCGTGGGATTTATGTCCATCCCCCAATGACAATCTATCACATGCTGTATATTTATGTGTCCATAACTTCCGCCACCCCCAGGTCCGAATATCAGATGCTGTATACATATATCCATTATTTTCCAAAACATCATAGACCACCCAAGGACCATCGCATTGTGTCCCACCCCCAATGTCACTCCATTACATGCTGTATGTGTGTCCAATTTTCCCCACCCCAGGTCCGAATATCAGATGCTGTACATTTATGGCAATTGTTTCCCCAAATATAATGTGATAGACGGTCAGTCCATCACATGCTGTAAATTTATGTGTCCATAATTTTAAGGTTCTCCCCCACCGGGACTGTCCATCAGATGCTGTATTTTCTAACCATTATTTTTCCAAACATCATTTGATGAAGCTATGCTGTAAATTTATGTGTCCATAATTTAAAGGTTCTCCCCCACCCGGGAATGCCCATCAGATGCTGTAATTTCTGACCATTATTTTCCCAAACATCATTTGATGAACTCCCGTCCCCCCGCCAACCCTTAAGTTCGTCCGTCCATCACATGCTGCCCCCGCCAACCCTTAGGTTCGTCCGTCCATCACATGCTGCATATTTATGTGTCCAGAATTTTTAACCATCATTTCTTGGAAAATAATTCCACAAATGTTGAATTTTATTGCTTGACGGTAGGCTGGTGGTAGGCCAAGAAACCTACTTTACGTAACGGTATAGTATATCAGATGTGTCTAGGCCTACACCAGGTCCGACGGTGTCGCCCAAAGAGAAGGCTACATTACGTATGTGTCTAGGCCTAGGCACACCAGGTCCGTCAATCTTAGCCGTTAAAGTATACTAAAACACCAATCGAACACACAGAACACCTTCAAATAATAGCACAGGTAAGTGGCCAATATGCCACAACTATCTCAGCTTGCTCAATGTTTACTGACAGTCGCGAAAACAACATAAAGAACTTTTCTAGGCAGCTCGCGACAGAAACAAAATGTCGGGAAAGTTTGACCCGACGCATGCGCAAATCAAATTTTCAACTAAAAAACGACTCAAAACTGGTGGTAGGGGGTATATGTTTTATCGCCTACAGCTTACATTTTATATCTAACCGAAAAAACAAACATTTCTTGCACAATTGCAATGTATACCTGCCGCGATGCACCGTTTCGGAGCCTATTTGTTTACAAATATGCTGACCTCTTTTGGTTGCACATCTCATACACAAATTTTACATGTGAACTATTACATTAGTTCCATGTGACCTAAGGTCACAAAGGAACTAATAAAGATTGTTACGTATTTAATTAGTGGGCGGTATATCATTTAATATAATTGTTCTGTATTTCCATATAGCAGTTAAGTACTGTTTACAATAATAACAATTCTTCAGATTCT